TCTCTGCAGCTTTACCTTCTGTAGACATTCCAAGACCTTGCTCATGTACTCCTGTTGGCACTGGTATGGCTGGAAGGGGAAATCCACTGTCACACCATTCAGGACTATCTTGGGCATATCAGCCTGTTCTCAGGAAGGCACAGAGGTTAGCTAAGATGCAAGATGTTTGAGTCTGAGACAAATCCTCTCCGAACACCTCAGGGTCCCAGGCACTCCAGGTGAGTGATGCCAGCACTTGGCACTAGGACACAGTACTGATCTTTGCAGGAATCCCTACAGCACAGACATGAGGAAGATAACAAGACTGTGTAGACAGGCCACTTCACCAGTCACTTCAGTAAATCCTTCCCTGTGGAGAAAGTCAGAAGGCAAGCCTGTTATATCCTGACACAAAGCTTGGGAAGAGGAAGATACCAAATAAGTCGCCTTTTTCTGCCCCAAGCCACTCCGTCCTACTCTGAAGAGTCGCCTGGGTTCACAAAAACAACAGGGCCCAAGAAGCAACAATTCGGTGACTTTCACAGGCGCGAGTGAGGCTGAGACCGCAGCGGCACCGCTCCTCCCTGGGCCGGCACACGGTGCAGAATGCAGCGTCTGCGCCTCCTGCCCTCTACTGCCCTAAAGGCAGGGGCCATTCCCCATGTCGCCCGGATGGGCACCCAGTTGCAGCCAAAGTAGCGAAAGGACATCCTGGGATGCAAATCGAGCATCCCTCAGCAAGTCGCTCAACCTCTCCAGGCCTCCGTCTTGCCTGGAAGCTGGGACCGACAAACACAAAGCCCAGGCCCCAGCCCGGTGCGGCGCGGTGCGGGGCTCCGGCTGCGTACGCTCTGGCGCAGGATCCGGCCGCCCCAGGTGCCGCGCGGCCGCTGCAGCGGAGCGGCCGGCTGCGAGACCGCGGCGCGTCTCGGATCGCCAGTCTCGGCGGGAGCCTTCCACCTCCCGGGCTCCCCAGGTGCCCAGCCGACCGACTCCCGGCGAGGCTCAGACGCACCGTCACAGGGTTCAGACTTGGCGGGCTGAGGCGCACGCTGCACTTCCTCCTTCATTTCCTGTCCGCCGTTCGATGCTCCGGTTGGAAACCGTTCTCAAGTAGCAGGGTCCGTCTGCTCTTCGGCCTCGTCGCGCGGTCCGCCACGGCTTCTTCCGGGCGCAGCACTCTCCTTGACCGGCTCCTGCCGCGACGACGTCCCTCCCGACGTCCGGCCACCTCCTCCCTGTGCCCGGCCGCCGCCACCGCGCGCACAAATGCGCCGGCACCTTGCGTTCCCGAGGTCCCCGCCCTCGCCTCGCAGAGGCCTGCGTCGATGGCTGTCAGTAAAATCCGCAAATGGCTGCCGTGGCCCTAGACGCGCTCCAGAGAGCCCTCGCCCTCCCCCCACATCCTTACTCTCCCCTGGGTCCAGCCTCTCTTCCGTCAGTGTTCCCAGAGGTCGACACAGGCCCCTCTGAATCCCCAGCATCTGGCTCCAGCTGGTAGTCATTGGTGGTCCCAGGAGAGACCCCCGCCCCCCACAGGCCTTCCGTCGGAGGTATTGCCTCAGGCGACCCTAGCGTGTCCCAGCAGGAGCAGCAGTGCTGCCCGCTGAGAGCATCTGTGTGTGCCCACGCTCTTGTGTGAGGTCTCTTTTGAGGAAGCACCTGACACACGCTGGTACCCACCCAAGGCACCTGTCTCAGATGCTCCTAGATCTCAGCAGGGATTTGGAGAAGATGAGATAGGCCGCTAATAATTGAATGGGCACCAAGAACAGGTTTCAGTACCATCTATGTGTAGATTGCCCAAAGCCTGCAAGGAACCAGGAGTTCCGTCCTTCACTTCCATACCAATCATCTCCTGAAGGCAAGGGTGTTCCTCCTGAGAAATCTAAGGAAGAAGAGGCAAAGACCCAGAGACTTGGGATTTTCATAGGCCAGAACTGGACCTCTTCTGAATTAAAACATGTAAAAGCGATTCTGCTATGGGATGTGGTGGTGTACACCTGTGATCCCAGTGACTCTGCAAGAGGACCACAAGTTGGAGGCCAGCCTGGGCAACTTAGCGATATCCTGTCTCAAAATAAAAAGGGCTAAGGGTGTTGCTCAGTGATATAACACCCCTGGGTTCAATCCCCAGAACTGAGAGGAAAAAATTCCACTGAACCCAACCTGGGAGATGAGGGGATGGGGAAACCAAGACTGACCGTAGCAAGACTCACTCAGCAGGCACAGGGATCTTGACCAGGGCAACAAACCTAAATTGAGCATCTGCTCATTCAAGCTTCAAGGGACACAGCTGTGGATGACTACAAGACAAATATGAACCAGTCACATTGTGATGAATACAAGGAAGAGACACAAGAGAGGAGGCTGCCATGACTAGAAGTCAGAAAGGCCACCCTGTGGATTGGTTGGAAACAGCATGGGAAAAGTCATGTTGCAAGTACTGGGAAAGCCCCAGAAGTGAAAGACCCTTCAAGGTGTGAAGTGCTCAAAGGAGCCCATGAGGCTGGAACTGGGAGAGGAGGAGAGTCCAAGGGTCCCCATTTCATCCAAGAGTGAAATAATGCCTGTCTGGAATTAAAGAGGAGTAATGGAAGGAACTTGCACAGAGCTAGGAGGAGGGAAGTCTGTGTCTAGCCCCAGGACTGCTCATGACTGGTTGCTGCAGGGGTACTCATCTAGGCAGGCCTGGTACTGCCAGGACTCCTGCCTTGTGCTCTCATTGCTGGCATAGTCCCCACTCCAGCATACAGTGAGTAGGCACTTCACAGATGCTTTTTGACTGAGCGAGGGGCAGGGTTGTTTTCAGAACAGTGCAGGATCTTATCTATAAACTCAACAGTTCACAAAAAGCGTCTTTCAGATGGCTGCTTATGAACTCCCTGCAACTGACTGTGGTTGAGAAGTCCAAATCTTCTCCAAGAGTTGGGTGGGATGGCACACCCCTGTAATCCCAGCTACTTAGGAGGCTAAGGCAGGAGAATCACAAGACCAGCTAGGAATGTCATTGAATAGCAAAGTGTCCTGGGTTTAATCCCCAGTACCACACACAGAAAAATATAATCTGCTCCAAGGCCTGGTACCATTATATTGGGGCAAACATTCAGTATACTTACTGTGGATGTTATGTGCACCTACTGTGTACCTGGCACTGTACCAGGGGCTTCCCAAACAGCTGGCCCCTCTAGCCCAAATGGACACAGAAACTCAACCGAGGACATGAACAAAGTGAGTCTGAGGTAGTACAGTCCCTTGAGCCTGCCTAGACAAGTATTCTCCATCCACAGGAGAAGACTAGAGGACCAGAGGTGGTTACTTCTCTTGATCCTAGCACCTGAGTTCCAGTATCTGGAGCTGAGTCCATCTGAAGGACACTGACAGTTCCCAGCTACCACTGCTTGTGGTAGGCCACCCATGATGCTACTTGAGTTGTCCTTGACTCAGCCCTGAGCCATGCAGGCTTAGGTCTCCCCTAGGGAATGATCCCAGCATTCCCTTGTGTAGACTGCCCAAGGCATTAGATCTCTGCCCTGCTCTGACAACAGAACAGCTCTCATAGCTCTGGACTTGGGCGTTACCCATTAGGCTTGGACAGCCCACCTCCTACCTTATTTGGCAAAAGAACATTCCATAGAAATTCTTTTGAAGCTCCCTTTTGTATAAATAAAGGAAACACGGGTTCTCCTGGCTCTCTTTCCAGTGTGGAAGCAGGACCCTGAAGGTCGCAGAGCCATCCTATCCTCCATCCCAAAATTATGTCTGTGCCATGTGTTTTTTTTTTTGTTTTTTTTTTTTTTGTCATATCTCTCAGCCAGCACATTTCACGCAAGGGAAACCCAAAATTCTTAGGCCATGCTGGATGCGGATGAGTAGAATAAGAATCAAGAACTGCAGTGACTCATACAGAGGACATGGTTTCTTCCACTAGGACCAACACTGTTGTTAGGAATGGCTTGTGTGCTGCTGTTCTCCCAGCTCCTGTCAGAACTGAATTCCAATGTGTATATGTCTGTGTGTGTTAGTTGACAGGTCTGCCATCAATTCAGCAGCTCAAAATACCTCTCAAGGGTTAGCTCACAATTCTCAGGATCCCAATGCTAACAAGAGGTAATCAATTGGGCTGAATTCTGTCTGGAAGGTCCAAAGGCCAACCTGCTTCCAAACTCATTCATGTTGTCAGAATTCACCGTCCATCCTGTGGTTGTAGCACTAAGATGTTGTTGCTCAGGCTGATCTCAGTCCTTTGGCCTGTCCTTGACTTCGGCCTTTTGGAGCTGGCCTCATTTCTGGGTAGAACTTCTAAGGATCCCTGAGTTTTATTCCTGGTCCTAAGTCTTGATTGTTGGTGGAGCTAGCCTTCTCTTGGCCTCACAGTGTCCATCCCTGAAACAGGAGTAGCACTGTGTCTGTCTGCCAGCCTCACTTTGGGGGAAGCAAGACATATGCACTCCACTGAGTGCATGCTCCAGCCCTGGCACACTCCCTCTCTTCCACCATGTGGGGTCTGGCATCCTGGTCTCATCTTTCACTCAAGAACCAGAGGTCCAGAGAACTCAGAAACTTGTCCTCAGGCAAAGAAAGAATGTCAGAGCCTGCCTCTATGTCACTTCAAAGATGGGGTTCTAACCTCATCAACCCAACTACCCTGTTCTGTGCCTGGAACCTGCCCAACCTCTGGACACAGAGGAGTTGCCCTTGGGAATGCCCACCCCTCTGGTCCATGACATTCCTTTCTCTGAGCACAGACCAGGGCTCAGTGGCCATCCCAGTCTCCAGCAGCTTCTTTCAAGAGCTCTGAGACACCACTCTGACTGTGGGACCTTCCCACATGGTGGGTATGGGGGCTTATTTCTACACACCCTGAAGCCAGCACAAAGCCAAGTCTGGAGGAATGGCAGTCAGCGGCTGTGGGAGGGTGGAGCACAGGCTTCTAGTTATACTCCTCTGCTTTTATCCCTGGGTGCTCCCGCTATGACGGCGGCAGCCCCTGCCTAGGCACTGGCTTGCACTCCCCATCGCCTCCCTCCCTCCTTCCTTCCTTCCTTCCTTCCTTCCTTCCTTCCTTCCCTCCCTCTCTCTCCCCCTTCCTCGCTCTCCCCCCTCGCTCGCTCCCTCCTCCCTCCCCCTCCCACACCCTCCCGCCGCGCCCGCCCTCGCCTCGCTCCCTCCCCTCCCTAGCACTGCAGCATTCGCCGACTGCAGCTCCAGCCGCCGCCTGCGTCTCTCTGGCCTCCGCAGCCCGTCGCCACCAGCACCATGGCCAGCACCGTGTCCGGTAGGCGGCAGGGCCTCGGGTTTCCGGGGGCTGCGGCGGGTCTGGCCTGAGGCAGGGGCAGGTTGCTGCTGCGAGGCTGGCCGGACCTGCCTGAGCGCCCCAGGGCCCGGACTGCAGCGACCGCCCGGAGGCTGCAGAAGCCGCAGGGGCCGCGCCTCGGGCTGGGGGGGTGGCGGTGTCTGGCCAGGGACGCGACGTTCCTTCGGGTGCCGGGGGGCAGATCGGGCGTCTGCCGCAGGGTGGTTCCACCAGGAGTTCGGGCACCGTTTCTGGTCCCTGGGTGAAGGCGCCCGTGCTGTGTGGAGGGGGGTCACCTGAGGCGCCAGCGACCTTAGATATCGGTTCAACCGCGCTTTCACGGGGGATGGGAGAGCGAGTGGGGCCCTCCCCAGCGGCCCCGGGGCTGTCACTGCGTCTAAGGGGCGCTGGCGGGGGCGCTGCAGGAGGCCCGGACCAGCTCGAGCCTGGAGCAAGAGAGCCGCACCCGCCCCACGCGTCGCCACCCCCCACTCCGGGACTTTGCGGGCTCGGAGACCACCCTTCGGCGACGGCGACGCCAGGGCAAGCTTCTCTGGCCGGAAAAGCCACCACCCTTTGCGCCACGGGCTTCGGATGGTGGGGGAAGGGCTTCTGCCATTTCCCAATCTTCCCAGGATTGGCGGGGGTTTGGGGGGCGGGTCTGCCTCTCCCTCCCTACCTCCGCGGTGCTCTGCAGACCCACAGCCCTCGAAAGCAGTCCCCACCCGCGGCCAGCCACAAGTGCGGAGCTCTGGCGGAGGGGCAGACACCATAAGGACATTGGATGAGGGGTGACCCTCGAGGACCCCCCCCACACACACACACACCGGACCCTCTGCCCTGTTCAACTGCCCTAGACCAGCTTTCTTTCTTGATGCCAGCGATGACAGACAGCAGGCCCCCACTCCCTCTCCTGCTCTTCCCTCCACCCTGGGCTCGGATCACTGTGGTCAACTGTCTAGCTGGGTTTTCTCCCACGCGCTCGCCAGGCCCCAGGCACAAACTCCGCCCACCTAGTGCCCCGCCCTGACTCCGCCCCTTAGGCCCAATAGAGGAGGGGGCTTGTGTGTCACTGATCAAATGTATCCCCAACCCTGTCTGGGAATCTTGTCCATCTGGGCTTCATCCATTCTTGCCCTGCAGAGATACTGGGACAGCTAAGCTCAGAATGGTACTCTCCCAGGACACCCGAGGCCGACTCTGTCCTTCCCATGGCCAACAAACTGTTCGAATCTGCCCTGAGTCCTGGCCACACGTCTGAGCCTTACTTTGGAAGGCTCGGCATCTTCCAGCCACCATGCTGCTCATGGCTTTTGTGGATTCTGCCTTATATTTAGCTCCTTACGCAACTCTGAGACTGACCACCTGAGCCATGCTACCTGACCTCTCAAGGCTTCTGTTTCCCAATCCAAGGGAGACGTGATCTTTAAACCTTCCAGCTCTGAATACACAGGTCCAACCACCTGCCTGTGTCCTACTTCCACATTCACAGTCCTCCCAATTTCGTATCAGCTCATTTTAAAAACATTACCACGGGACTGGGTTTGTGGGGTTGTAGAGCACTTGCCTAGCATGATGAGGCACTGGGTTCAATCCCCAGCACCACATTAAAAACCAAACAAACAAACAAAAAGGTATTGTGTCCATCTACAACTAAAAGTATTTTTTAAAAATTATCATGTGTGAAATTTGATCAGAAAGTTTCTTGTCCACTAATACTGAAGCAGGAGGATCACGAGTTCAAGACGAGACTGGGCAATTTAATGAGACCCTTCCTCAAAATAAAAATTTTTTAAAGGTGTGGGGATATATCTCAGTGGCAGAACATTTGCCTAGCATGTAAGAGGCCCCAGGTTCAATCCCTAGGACTAGGAAAAAAAATTTCTTGGGGCTCAATGGTAGCATGTGTGAAGCACTGAGTTCCATCCTTAGCATCACATAAAAATAAATAAATAATTGTGTCCATCTACAACTAAAAAAAAAAAAAGAAGAAGAATTAAAAAAAAAGTTTCTTGCCCATCTAAGTGTTATACAAGTTCTTGTCTGTTCCTTTGAGGGGTGCTGATATATAACCATGTATGGAAGCTGGATCACCTCTTCTGAGAGGGTCTCTCCAGCCAGGAAGGGTGAGGCATGGGCCACAGAGCCTCCCAGACTGGAGTGGGGGGCAAGAGCACAGACACCCAGGACTGTACTCTGACATTCTCACGTCACTCCAGCAAGCTGGGTCCTGGAGTTGTGTGGAAATGGGTGACTATAGGGTGCTTACAGGATTGTTGAGCATTACTGAGATACTGGGCCCACACTGGAGTTCAAACCATGTGAAAGGACCTGAAAGAGTTGAATTATTCCATTCTAAGAGTGGATGTGTTTCCCTTCCCCCAACAGGAGCCAGGGCCACAGTTGCCCTGACTAGCTCATTTTCTTTTCTGGTCAGATGGCAGGGACACTAGTTGGTGGCACTTGATCTGGAAGGGCAAGAAGGTGAGCTGTGCGGGGCTGGGGAATGTGGCTCAAGCAGTAGCGCACTTGTCTGGCATGCGTGCAGCCCAGGTTCGATCCTCAGCACCACATACAAACAAAGATGTTGTGTCCACCAAAAACTAAAAAAAAAAAAAAATAAATATTAAAAATTCTCTCTCTCTCTTTAAAAAAAAAAGAAAGAAAGAATTCCTTTAAAAAAAAAAAAGTGAGCTGTGGTGCTGAGTGGACAGCTCCTCCTGTCCTTGTCCAACCCTACCTGGGTGGACAGTATGTGTCTGCTGAGGGTGTGGCTTTATCTCAGGGTGACCACACTGTCCTCAGGATGAATAGAAAAGACACAGGAGAATCTGAGGGCTTCACCCAAGTCTATAGTTCAGAAAGTTTACAGTTCAGGCAGGGTGGCACACACCTGTAGTCCCAGCTACTAGGGAAGCTGAGGCAGGAGGGTCCCTTGATTTCAGGAGTTCAAGACCAGCCTGGGCAACATAGTGAGAGTATGTCTAAAAAAGATAGAAACAAAGAAGAGAAAGAAGGAGAGAGAGCTGTGGTGCTGGTCCCAGTCGTGGGAGTGGGGGTTTGGCTAGTTTTTGTGGCACAACTCCTGTGATCCCAGCTATTTGGGAGGTTGAGAGAGGAGGATCACAAGTTCGAGGCAACTTAGCAAAACCCTGTTTCAACAGAAAAAAATAAAAGGGGCTGAGGATGTAGTTTAGTGGCAAAATGTCCATGGTTCAATTCCCAGTACAAGAAAAAAAAAAAAATAAAAGTGAGGCGGTAGTTGGTTTTGTCTGCCTGAGAGAGAGGGAGAGGAACAGGAGCTAGTGGGGGATGGGAAGTATCAAGGGCAGAAAGCCACACACCAACAAATAATCACAGAGAAATACTCAGAAAGAAAATGGGAGGGATGCACTGTGAGAGAAAGGCACAAAGACAATGACAATGACAGAATCTTAAAGAAGGGTGATCAGAGACCCAGGCTGTGTCCCCATCTGTTCAGGTGGTCATAACAAAACACCTTTGACTAGGTGGCTTCTAAACAAGAACAGTCCAGGAAGCTGGGAGTTCAAGATTCCTGAAGATTTGGTGTCTGGTGAGGTTGCTTCCTGGCTCATAGATGCATCCTCACTTTGACCTTACCTGCCAAAATGGCTGGTGGCCCTCCCTGGGTCCTGTTCTCTAAGGGTACTAATCCCACTGGAGAGTTTCACCCTCATGACCTATTCACCTCCCAAAAGCCCCACTCTTTTTTAATATTTATTTTTTTAGTTTTAGGTGGACACAATATATTCATTTTATATTTATGTGGTGCTGAGGATCAAACCCACTTCCCCATGCACGCTAGGCGAGTGCTCTACCACTGAGCCACACACAGCCTCCAAAAGCCCCACTCTTAACACCAGCACACTGCCTTAGGATTTCAGCACGTGAATTTTGGGAGGACACAGACATTCAGACCAGAGCAGGCAGAAAGGGACATATAGAAAGAATAAGGCTGAGACCAAGAGTGATGCAGAAGAGTGAGCCGGGCAGAAACACCCGGAGAGAAAAGGACTCCAGGAGGGGAGAGACTGAGAGACAGAAGCACAGAAAGAACAGTGTTGGGAGATACCACCAGAGTCCAAGCTTGGAGGCAGGACGGGGAGGGGAGGGATGGAAGTCAGAGAGGTGGGTACATAGTGTGATGAACAGCTCTGTCTCACAGGGTGGGAAAAATGGGACCCCGATCAGCAGACTCAGGGGTGGGGCAGTGATGGTACCGCTCACCATGGCCTCATGCCCACAGCCTACAAGGAGAAGATGAAGGAGCTGTCCGTGCTGTCACTCATCTGCTCCTGCTTCTACTCACAGCCTCACCCCAACACCATCTACCAGTATGGGGGTGAGTGGGCCCACGTTGGTGTTGGCCTGCTGGGCCAGGCCTGCCCACCTTGCCTTTCCTGCCTCCCCTGGACTCTCAAGCACCCTGGCATGGCTGGATTCTGCAGAGGGTGGCTTTGGGAGAAGGACCCAGGCCTGAGAGTCTTGCATGAGCATCTCCCCCCTTGCCCCAGCCCCTGATTGGCATGTTGCCCCACACAGGCCCCTCACTTTGCCCCCGTCCTCTGGCCGGCCCTCTTGATGCCCTGTCTGGTCTTGCCCTGCAGACATGGAGGTGAAGCAGCTGGATAAGCGGGCCTCTGGCCAGAGCTTCGAGGTCATCCTCAAGTCCCCTTCTGACCTGTCCCCAGAGAGCCCTGTGCTCTCCTCTCCCCCCAAGAGGAAGGACGCCTCCCTGGAGGAGCTGCAGAGGCGACTGGAGGCAGCTGAGGAGCGGAGGAAGGCAAGCAACTCTCCCGGCACAGGCTGCCCTGGGCCCGGCCTGGCCAGGGCATAGATCTGGGGCCCTGGAGGACTCATGATCCAAAAAGGGTCTTATCCAGGGCAGGGGAGTGTGAAGGAAGGGCCTGACATCTGAGAACCCTCAGGTGGAGCAGTCAGGGGAGCTAAATGGGCTCCAGGTTCCTTCCCCACCCCTTCCCCTACACCAGCACTTTTATGACTGAAACAGAGAGAAGGACTTGGTTTGGGAATGCAGCCCAAAAGCTCAAGTCCACTGGCTGTCCAGTGGAAAGTGGCTATCTTAGGCACAGTGACCAGGCTAAGCAGGACCCAAATCTACTGGTTAACCAAAAGTGGCTAGTGCAGGGATGAAGCCCTCTGCAGTCAATCAAAAGGCAAGAAGCATGTAATTATCCTTGGGAGCCTGGAGTCTGCCAAGGAGACCCCACCCAGGGTCACCAGGAGATGGTCTTTCTCCCAGCAGGAAGGCTAGGCGGTGTTGCTTGGGAGGGATCAACCCCAGGACAGGGCTTGTCTTGTACAGATGCTCTCAGCCCAGTGAATAGAGGGGCAGTTCTGGGCACAAGGGTGAACCACTTCAGTCCCCCAACAGTAACTTTCAGTGCCAAAGCCCGGAAAGTCCCAGGCAAACTGGGCGGTACAGTGTTGGCCCAAGCTCTTAGGATGTGTCCATGAACAACACGACAGTAGGACAAGGCGCGGGGTAGGGGCAGTCAGCTGAGAGCAGAGGAGGTACAAAGTCTGCCCTTTGCAGCAGAAGCTTTGCAGACCCCCTTCTCCCTGCCCGACCCAGGCCTGGAGATGGTCAGACTGTCCTCAGGACGGCGCCCGCGGTCCAGCACCCGCAGGCCCGGGGCAGAGGAGCCACTCAGGGTTTGGCTGGCTGCCTAGCGCCAGGGAGGTGGGCCGGGGCGCGGAGGGGCCGAGGTCACCGCTCACGCGCCCGGCCCCGCGCAGACACAGGAGGCTCAGGTGCTGAAGCAGCTGGCGGAGCGGCGCGAGCACGAGCGCGAGGTGCTGCACAAGGCGCTGGAGGAGAACAACAACTTCAGCCGCCTGGCGGAGGAGAAGCTCAACTACAAGATGGAGCTCAGCAAGGAGATCCGCGAGGCGCACCTGGCGGCGCTGCGGGAGAGGCTGCGCGAGAAGGTGCGCACACCGTGGGGGGGCGGGGCAAGATGACGGAGGGCGGGAAGGTGGGGCGGGGCCGGGGTCCTCACGCAGGAGGGCGGGGCTGAGGGGCCCCTCCGGACTGCGAAGCACCACGCCCTGGCCGTCTGTTAGGTGCTTCCAAAGCGCACTGCCCCGCCGTTGCTTTTGTCTCCCGTGACACACTGGCCTGCTTGAGAAATACCTGAAAGTATTTCTGTTCCCCGAGTCAGAGAACACCCTGGGGTCCACTCCCTCTCAGGCCACGCTTTAAGGGTACCTCTTGTCTTCGCAGGAGCTGCATGCGGCGGAGGTGCGCCGGAACAAGGAGCAGCGGGAGGAGATGTCGGGCTAAGGGGCACTGGACACAGCGGTGACAAGAACGAGTTTTTTGTTTGTTTGTTTGTTTGTTTTTGTTTTGTTCAACTCTGCCTAGATGCAACTTTTGTTCCTGCTGCATCCCTCCCCGCCCCCGCACCCCCAGCCTCATGCTTCTCTTTCCGCACTCCGCACTCCCAGTTGTCCAGTCCTGATGGTGCGTCTGACCATGGGCTCTCCCCGGAGGAGCCACCAGGGTGTGAGACATGGTCCCTCAATTCAGATACAGGACCAGGTGTGGTTAGGTCCCCTCTCGGTGGCTCCCTTAGTGGATATGGTGGCAACCTTAATAAATCTAATGGCAGTGTCATGGGTCCTTGTTTTGGGTTGTCTGGTCACATGAAAGCATGTCCTTGTGCCAACTCCCCTCTGCCAGGAGACAAGGCAAGAACATCTTCCTGTCTTCCCATGGGTGAAGGTTCCACAAGGAGTAAATGGCAGAGGAGGAAAAAATTGGGCTGGGTCTGTGGAGCCCCCTCTCTCTTGACACTTTAGCTAGCCCTGGAACCTGTGTGCAGCATAACTGTCTGGAACTGGTGGGAAGGTTCTGCAGCATTCCTTAATGTGGTGGCATAGGGTGTGGGCACCCTAGGTGAATCACAGAGCCTGTGGTCATGGCATAGGGTCCTGGGTTGGGTAGGCATGACCTGAGTCTGCTGGGTGCATGAGCATTCTTCTCTAAGTACTCACGAACAGACTGTTGTGATCTAGAGAGTTGTGGGCAGTGTGGATACTGTCTCCACCCACTCAGAAGGGCAGGCACTCAAAGATCCCAAGCCACGGCCCCTATCCCTCTGGGCTTTACAGATGCCCTGAAAGAACCTAGTCCTTAAAGCCCTTTGGAGTTTAGTGTCTTTCCCTGCTCTCTGCTCTGGTCCAATGATGCTCCTGGCCATTGGACTTTTAGGTTCCCCTCCAGGGAGGTGTGGCCAGGTGTGAACACAGTAGTAGCCACAGGTCCTCAGGGAGCCCTTTGTGAGGGCTGAGGGTGGGTGCCAGGACGTGAGGGTGGGGGGTTCAGGACCAGCTGTCTTCAGATTGATGTTGGAAGGGCAGGGTCAGGGTTCCCAAGCCAGCCCCCATGCCACATCCATCCTCAAGATTCCTCACCAGAGGGTTGGAAGCCTGGTTCTAGGCCTCTTCTGCCAACACCCTCCTAGGTTGGGTCCCCTCTTCTTCAACAGCCCCCAATGCTCTCGTGCTGTTTGGGGATAGTCACCTGCCTATGTGCCACAGCTGCATCCCCTTCTTATCCATGACAACTCCACCCAGCAGCCAAGTGTGAGGGCAGGATCCTTCTTGGTGTGAAGTATGAGGACAATGACACAGTTCTTTCACAACTCATAGCTAGGGTCCCAGAAGCCAGGTTGCAGCCTACAGGGGCCTTGGCTTTTATCAGACAGAAGACCTTTGGAGGACTGCAGGTGGTCATCCGGGCCCAGCTAGAGATGGGGGCACCCTTGTCTCAGAAAGTCCTCCAGAGGGAGCAACAAGCCAGGGTTGGAACCCAGTGGTATCCACGTGTGGCTTTTGTGGGACTGAGAAGGGGAAGTGGAAAGGGAGCTAAGGTTGGATTTCCCTGGCAGGTAATAGCTATCTTGTAGCCAAAATCTAATGCAGCATGCACCTGTCTTATCCATGAGTGAGCTTAAAACTAATTGAACAAACACCTGTGTGTTTAGAAGTGGCTGACTGCCCACTCAGAGTGTGTCCTGCATCTGGAACAAGCACCACAGGGGGTGGCTTAAAACAAAGAAGCCTCATCTCTCCCAGCTCAAGTGGGCATCATGGCGAGGGTGGGATAAGAGATGGGATGACTTGAGCCATCAGTGCAACCTGACCCTGATCATGCAGAGGGCACTGCAGGGCAGGGAGTGGGCACTTAAGTCACTGTCTCTCCATGAGGCCGTTCCACCTAAGCCTTCACTCCCCTCCATAGCCCCCAGTCCTCCAGCTGTGGCACTCTGCTGACACTTCCTGTGGGTTTCTACCATCTTATCAACCTGAGCCCTAAGTGCCTGGCTCAGGTGCTCATTGCTTTCTGGAGGCTGGAGATGCAGCCAGTGATAGACTGAAGCCTTAGCCAAGGCCAAGAGTTCAATTCCCACTACCAGAATCCCTCACAAAACCAAAATCTGTTTTTTTTTTTTTTTTTTCTTTTTGAACTGAGGTCTTTCCAAGTTACCCAGGCAGGTCTCAAGCTTTTGGGCTGAAGCAGTCTTCTTGCCTTAGCCTCCTAGGTGCTGGGAAAGGTGTGCATCATTGTTCTAAAAGCTAATACGTCTCGTGGCAAGTAGAATAAGGGCCTCTGTGAGACCATGGCCATCTCCTGTGCTGAGGGTCCCCTTGTGAGCCTCAGAAAGTTGCCACTGGTGTGCTGCAAACCCAACCAAAGCCAATGTGAATGTTTTTCCATTAATGTTGCCAGAAGCTCACACATTGGGTGTTCCTCAGCCTCCTCAACCTGTGGCAGTTCATTTCCTCCTTTTACTACCTTGTGCTCTGAGGAGTACCCATTAGCTACTTTGCTGACTATTCCTTAGTTTCTCATGACTGGCCTGGGTTGTGCATTTCTGGCAAAGAGAACCAGAGAAATGAGGTGTGTCTTTCAGTGTATCACCTCACAGTTTCCTGGGATCAGCAAGTCTCATTGGTGGTGATCTGATCTGGTTTCTCCACTTTAAAATTACTAGTTTTCCCTTGGTAGCTATTAAATCTTGTGGAAGGCAGAATGATGGTTCCCAAGATGCCCACGTCCTCACCCATGGAATCTGTGATTTGTCTCACAAGCGAATGGAAGCTGCCAGTCTACAATTGTAAGAGGTGCTTCCTGCATTATCCCCACAGGCCTAATGTCATCACGAGGGTCCTTCAAAGTGGGAGAGACAGGTGTGCAAAAGGCAGGAAAGGATTCCCCTCTGGATCCCCCAGGAGTCGTTAGCTGTGCCAGTACCTGGATTTCAGCCCAGCAAGCCTGAGGTTGGACTTCATTTCTCACCTACAGAGGAATAAGAAAATAAATTCATATTTTGAGCCCTTGATTTTTATTTTTGGCTGGCAATTGAATTCAGGGGTATTCTACAATGGAGCCACATGCCCCCAGCACTTTTTAAAAACTATAATTTTTGAGACAGGATCTCATCAAGTTGCCCAGTCTGGCCTTACACTTTTTTTTTTAAACAACTAATAATTTATTAAAACAGTTTACTTAGGCATCTGCAATGGTGACTTCCACCTCCACTCCTGGCTGGTGGAAGTAATCTGCTCAACAATCGCAGAAGGGCTGTGCAAGTCAATGAGTCCTTGTGGATTCTCATCTGCAGACAATCCTGTCTTGGAGCCTTCACCACAAGGTGTTTTTCTTGTGGTGCTTCTCAAAGTGTTGGTAGGCATGCAAACAGGTCCCCTCACTTTGAGATTCTTCTCCTTTGAGCCTCTGATCAAGTCAGCACACACTTTCTCAAGTGATTTCACATTGCCGCTGGTGAGGGTGATTCTAATTTGGTGAACTGCCATCTCTGGTTCCATGGGTGTCTTTAAATGCCATGGCTGTGGCAGTTTCTTGGCGAGCGAACAGCAGTGAGTCAGGAGCAGAAGCGGGCAGCATGGTGCTCTGTTGTACCCACAACTGTGTAGCTCTCCAAAAAGCTGGCCTAAGGGCTGGGGATATAGCTCAATTGGTAGAGTGCTTTCCTTGTGTGCACAAGGCCCTGGGTTCAATGCCCAGGAAAGAAAAAAAAAAAAAAAATTGTTGGCCTTAAGCTTGTGATCCTCCTTCCTCAGCCTCCCAAGCAGCTGGGATCACAGATGTGCACTTCTGAGCCCAGCTAAACCACTAAACTTGAAGCAATCTGTTGGAGCAATAATAGAAAGCTAGGAAAATAAGTACTTTAGGGGAGACATTCAGAAACCATGCAAACACTATTTCACCTCAAACTTTTGCTACTTAACTTTAGCAACTATCAGTGGATTCATACCTGTCACAAATAAAGGTGACTGCTTCCTTCTACATTTATTGACTTGTTTTTCCCCCCAGTATTGGAGATGGAACCCAGTAACTCACACGTGATATTTTTCTTAATTGGAATTCAGGAAGAATTGTGCTATTTTCCCACTTACTTGGGGACCACTCACACCCACATGGCAGACTGGCAATGCCCCGTATTGTGGCCATAATCCAGCAGTCAGCACTTACTAGTGCTCACATAGTCAGAGCTCTGGCCAGTGAGACCCTTCTGGCTAGTTCTAATGCCTGTTCCACCAAGGCCCATCTTTTTTTAGAGCAAGTCCCTATCTGGGGGTGGGGGGCACTCACTTAACACTGGCTTAGTCTGCTGCAGCAGAAATACCCATATGGGTGGCTTATAAACAAATTTCTCACAGTTCTGGAAGCTGAAGCCCAAGGCACCAGCCAAAACTGGTATCTGGAAAAGTCTGACTGTTGGCTCAGTGTTGTGTCCTTGTGTGTGGGAAGGGGCACATGGCCTCTCAGTGGTCCCAAAGACCCCACTTCCTATGGCCATCATCTTGAGGGTTAGAACTCTGAAGCAGGAGCACTTAGTGGCACTGCTGATGAAATAAATCCATCCCAAGAGCACTTTCAGTCCCCTCTGCCACAGGGATCATTTCTGGCCTTGTAGGAAACAAAAGTCCAGCTCCATGGCAGGATGGAACAGAGAGCAGAACCTAATTCACCCTTATCCTATAGTGGTCTGGTCTTATTTCCCTCTCATGCCTCCCTGGAAGCTGAGGTGGGCCAGAGTGATAAACAGGGGGACTGGGAGCCAATGCCCGCTCTGGCCAGCTCCCTAGCCTGTCCAGCAGCAGGTGCCAAAATTGCATGAAGTCAACAGCTGTAACACCATCTGTGTCTGTCCCTGCAGGCCTGATCTTGTCCTCAGGGCCACTTCCACCACTCCCCTTTAATCTCACTGGCATTTACTTCTACAACGACAAACACGGAATATTACCAGATAATAACCAAAATAACTGCACGGACAAAAGTTCAACAATTTAACATATATATGTTTTCAATACATATACAATACATATATTTACAATATATACTTACAAATTCGAAGTATACGTATATTTTTATATATATTCACAGTCAGCTTTATCTTATTTACTTATTTTTATGTGGTGCTGAGGGTCGTTAATTTTTGACGACTTTCCTTCACTGGCTCGAGTAGGTAGATGTTACTCCTCAGACTGAAGCACTACTCTCCTTGTTATGATGTCCTGCAATTAAGTCTGCTGGACACGTCCCACCCCGGCAGCGCTTCTCCTGAAGGGGGCGCGACCATCCCACGCAGGCGTCTGCTTCCTGTTCTCACTTCACCTCGGGGACCCTGCCGCCTTTCACCCACTCCCAGACCCCAGAGAGCCCGGGGCACGGAGGCGCCACCGGCCTCATCCCCCGGGGCGAGCGTCAACTGCTCCCCAGGGCCGACTGCGCCCGCGCCGGGGAAGGAGCCCAGCAGGCGCCGAGGGACGCCTCCCTCCCCAGCGCGGCACCGCGCCGCTCTTGCCGTCGCGGAGAAGGGAAGGAGCGGCGCCGGGGCGTGCTCACCGGCTCGCGGAGACCTCCCGCTCCCCCGACCTTCCGGGCCCGTGAGCGCGCCTCTCGCGCCGGCAGACGCAGAAACCCAAAACCCGAAAATGTGCAGGTCCGACGCGGGCGGTGTGCGGGCGAGGCTCCCCTCCGCCCGGGCCGCCAGGCGGCGGGACCCAGTCCCCCCCGCCCCACGCTGCCTCGAAGGCGGGACCCCCGCGCGCGTCGCGGCCTCCATTGCGCACTGCTGGGGCTGGGTCGCAGATACGAGGGAGCTGCCGCGTCCCCGTCATACACCGGCAGCCTTCCCGGCGCCGTCCCCCCGCGGACCGTCTTCCCCTGACGCGTCCGCCAAGCACACGGCGCCATAGGGTGCCCGCGGAGGGCAAGCCAGCGACGCGAGGGCCTACAGCAGGCCGCAAGCGCACGCGCGTCAGGGCCCTCCGGGCCTTTTCTCACAGCACCTCCCGCCTCCGCGGCGAGCGCCAAATAAGTCTCTGAGCCCGCCCGGGTAGTGCGTGCGCGGCCCCGTCGCCTGCGTCACTAGGAAGCGCGCGCCCGAACTGCCGCCGCCGCCGCCGCCGCCGAATCCCCAACAAGGAAAGAAGCCCCCGGCCGCCGCCGCCGCCGCAGTTCTCGCTGCCGTCGTCGCCGCGGCCGGGCGTCCGAGCAGGCCGGCGTGGCCCCAGGTAAGCGGCGCCGGCGCTTCCGCGCCCCCCCGCGGCGAGGCCTCTCGCGCCACTCACGCGCCGCCGTCCAGTCAGGGGTCCCTGCGGAGCGTCAGGACGTTACGGCGGGGGGAGGGGAGCGGGGGAGGGGCGGCGGGTGCGCGAGGGCGGCGGCGGCGGCGTCGGCGCGGCGGCGTCAGGCGGGCGGGCGCGGGCGCCGGGCGGTCGGGCGCGTGAAGCGGCGGCGCTTCCGGCCTCCATCTTGCCGTCGCGGGCGGGCGAGGGCGGCGGGGTGCGGGGCCGGGCGGGAGCGGGCTCCGTGGGCGCGGGGTCTGGGGGGCCCGTCTGGGCGCCGCAGCTACGAAGAAGAACCTCACCCACGAGAACGCCGAGACCCTCCGGGAGCCTTACTCAGGCCCGTGGGGGGGACGGGCTGACAGGAATGAGTCCATGGTGGGAGCCACGTGAGTGGCCCAGCGGAGGGACCGCGCTCGCCGGCCCAATCGGCCAGACCCACCGGCGGAGTCGAGTCCGTGGCAGTAGATGGGTCGCTAGGACCGCGTTGATGTGGACCCAGTGGGAACTGCACTGCCAGGAGCCCCGCCAAAGGGACCCAGCGGTGGGACTCTGTGGTCAGGAACCTACCATGGGGACCCAGCAGTGGGGACTGTGTGGCCAGGAACCCACCGTGGGG